ATTTGGGGTCGGTCACCCTTATCCTAAGCTTCCACTTGACACGATCTCCCACATCTTCTACGCTCACATCAGCTGTCCTCATATTGCATTCAATATCATCCTTCCGTGTCTTTTTTTGGTCTTCCTCTACCTATTCTTCCTTCAACATTAATTTCTATAACTGTTCTTACAGCTTCCGATTCTTCTCTCCTCATAACATGACTAAACAATCTAAGTCTAATTTCTGTCATCTTATCTACGATTGACGCAACACCTATACTTCCTCTTATATGCTCGTTCCATTTCTATTTTCTCTAGTCACTCCACTCATCCAACTAAGCATTCTCAACTCTGCTACACTTATTCTCTGTTCTACTTTCTTATCAACCGCCCAACACTATGAACTATACATCATAGCTGGCCTCACAATTTCATACTAAATTTAAAAACTATAATTAGTATTTATTCATATATTATATTTTAAAATCAAAGAACTACTAATCAGGATATAATTAAAGAAATAAGAGTTCATGTTGCTTTTAAAATATTTCACCAATTTCTCTAAAGGAAACACTATCTACAGATTTGCATCGAAGCGTTTCTTATGATAGTGATTTTAATCACTGTCAGATATCATCTATACTTGTCCCATCTATGCCTCGTCCACACTGTGCCTCGACCCCACTGTGCTACCGTTTTTTTATTATATTATTTCTAAAAGATAAAATGCTATACATGGGGCTATTAAGAACATAATTTTGCTTAGTGATGGGAACGTAACATTATTTATATTATCTAGTTCTAAATTGAGGGCCCAATATTAGACAGCAGCTCAGGACAATCAATCATAACATTTAACAAACTTTTTTGGAATTTAAAAAAATGTCTGGCGACATTACCAGTGTTGATATATTCATACTCCGAACTACTCTATCAACTTTTATACCTAATTCTTCCCATAAACGAGATTGCATTTCTTGTTTTCTATCTGAAACTACTTTTTTGGTTCAATAGTTAACTTTTTGTTGGAGGATCAGATTTTAATTATAAGCAAAATCCAATGTACACTCTAAAAATTTTATCCACGCATGTAGTATGGATAAACCATACTTACAATTATCTATTTTAAATGCATTATATCTAGGTTATTCATATTTATTAGAATAAATTTACAAATATAACAAACTGGACTTGAAAAATCTATTAAATTGTTAATTACTTTACTATTAATCATTGTATAATTTATTAATATAATATTAATATTTATGTAAGTGAAACATCTTTATAGAGCGTCCGAAAAAAAAACAGATTATTGAGCGTCAATGTCCGCTGTAGTATTTTTAATATTATAATTTAGCACTATATTTTCAAAAATTAAAGTAATTTTATTTAAAATACTAATAATATATTATTAATAATTTAATTTCAAGTAATTTTGATTGTGCATAAAAAAATTTAAAAAACCACAATAGATGCAATTTTTACGTGATATTTTCATAATGAAAGAAATTACACTTCATCCGGTCACTTAATTCAAAAAAAAATTTGTGTGGTCTACCGGTACCTATTGATAGTTGACAAAACTCACACATTTTTACCAATGGAATATTAAAACTTAATTATTACCAATTTCCATTTTTCTTTGTAAACTTTCTTATATTATAGTTAGTTCCTTCCATTTTTTGTAAATGGTGAAACAAAATCCCTCAACTTTATTAACCACACATTTTTTAAAATCGTCATCCTCAGAACTACAATTATTAGTTAGTCTACTTTTCAAGTAATCCATAAATATAATTTTCATTTGATTAGAATGCGCGGTATTATTCCCACATGTGCGAGTAATACCACAAAGAACTGACAATGCAATGTCAATTGGCCAAGTTCGTATAAATAGTAGCAGTGATGTTTTGAGGAAAAAACGGAATATACCCCAATTTATTTTTCATATATTTTTAACTCTTTCAAAAACTTATAGGAACAGATAAAATGCCCATTGCATAAATACAATATTTAACGATAAAATAAGTAACTAATTTTATTGACTTCAATTCTTTTCAAAATATGTAGGAACATTTTTAAGTAAATATAAGGCTATCACCATCTATCACGGCCTATACTAAAATGAAAATTGTGCGTAAAATGAAAATGAATTTAAGTATTAACCCAAATAAAGAATATACCATGTTAGGATAAATTAATATGAATATAATAAAATAATAAATTATTTTAATATTTTAAAACCCTAAATCACATAATAATTATTTTGGTTATTAATGATAAATTAGGCCACACAAAATTTGTTTTATTTAAATATATGGTAACGAGAATTTTTTTTATATCTGATCAGATATCAGCCATTACATGTCAGTTCAAATTTTTTTCAGAAAAATCTAATTTGTTTCTCAATTAACCATAAAATATAATTTGACACTCCCTTCATTAAAGAACTAATAAGATGTTTTTATTAATAAATATTTTTGAAAGTTTTAATAAAAAATTTTATTTTAATTATGAATTTAACAATTTGTTATATTTAAAACAAACTAATATCTTAAAAATAATAAAATATAAATTAAACTATATGAAAAAATGTGAGGAATTACAATAAATATTCTAAAAAATAAAATTTTAAAAATTATATAAGAAATTAGAAATTATATAAATTTTTCAATTAAATATATTATAAATCAATAATGTAATAATGAAATGAGATATAATTAAAATAATTTTTTAAGTAATTAATTTATAATTTAAGTAAAATATGATGTATATTCATAATTCAAATATATAATTACAGATTTTATATTATCTGAAACTATTATGAAATACATTTGAAATATTTAAAATGTATTTAAATACAGTTTTATCTAATTTTATTGTCTTTTCTGAAAAACATTTAAAAATACTTGTCTCCTATTTGATTTGAATATATAAATGAATAGAAGTTGTATAATACAGAGATCTCAAGTAGTCACTATTTAAACTTTGTAGGAATAATAGATATTTTTATTTAATATAATAAGATCTATGACTATTGAACACTAGTAAGACATAGAATTTATCTTTGTAGTATATTCTTGTTTAAGTTCATCTTTAATTTTAGGTAAATATTTAAGTGCTTCATATTTATTTCCATTATCAATACATGCATCTATAAATAGCTTTAACATAAAATTAAAAAGTTAGCTAAATAAAAAATGTTTTCTTAAAAAATATGTGTTATTTACTTCATAACCAATAGGTGATTTTTTTGATAATTTGTCAATTTCTATCCAGTCTTGTTGTTTAATTAAAACATTAAATCTTGCCCAAAAATACCTGAAATAAAATCATAATATATTCTATTTAAATTTTATATACTATACTTAAAATACTTTTGATATTGCGTACAGAAACTTTTTGAGAATTTTCATTTTAAGTATAAATTTATAAGATTTAAAATGACAGTATTAAAAAACCCAGCACAGGGGGGTCGCGGCACAGTGGTGACATGGCATAGTTGGATCAAGTATAATGATATCTGACAGTGATTAAAATCACTATCAAAAAAAACGCTTCGATGCAAATCTTTAGATAGTGTTTAATTTAAAAAAATTGGTAGGTTATTCTAAAAGCTACATGATCTGCTATTTTCTTATTAATATCCTGAATAAAAAAGGGATTATTAAAATAGCATTTGGTAGCCATTTTCACCACGAAGACAAGTCCAGAGGTCAAATTTTTTTTTTTAATATTAAAATATATTACATCATATTTAATTTAAGATATATATAAAAGTGTCAATATTTCTGGAACACTTTCAAAAGTTAAGTTGATGTCTTCGACTAGATACAATTTGTGATCTTTTAACGAATCATTGAAAGAAATCGGTTCGGTGAGACTGAGCAAAAGTGGTAACAGACACACAAAAAAAAAAAAAAAAAACCACATCATAGTAAAACCAATACCTTCTCAGCTTCGCATCGAATTCATAATTTATGAAATAATGTATCTAGAATACGTGTATTCTTATAAAATTTCTAACTTTGTAGTCCTCTAAAATCCCAAGAACATTGTTTTAAATATTTGAAAACTATATTATACACTATAAAATACCACATTCGAAAATCACTATAAAATAATAACTTTTTAATGGTTTTAATTAAGCTTAAAAATGCCAATTTACATAAACAAGCGCCAAGACGAAATGCATTATTGAGATAATGTGAACCTCTAAGGCCATTTAAGTGAAGTATTTTACTAACCACATGTTCATATACTCATTAAAACTTGTATCTAACTCAAAATTTGATTAAACTTTAGCTAACGTATTAGGTAAAATTATAATTCAATGATTAAACGATCAAAGTATTATTTTATCAGTGTAAAAAATCATCTTATACTCATATGAATTCATAATATCTAAATCTCGCTTACGTAATACATATAATTTTTTTTACATTTTAGATTAAAACTTATAAATAATGACATCAGTTAATAAATTGTTAACTGGTAATAATTATATAATCTGTAAAAAATAAATGCTTATAGAATCTGTTCTGTCAATAAATTAAGTAATCAATCGCTCTCAAGATTACACGTGATTCTTTAGTATAACTTTGAAATTAATTTGAAAGAAATCGGTTCGGTGAGAGCTGAGAAAAATTGGTAACAAACACAAAAAAAAAAAACACATCTTAGTAAAATTAATACCTTCTCAGCTTCGCATCGAAGCTAAAAAATAAAACGTAAAGTTAATATAATTGAATAATAGATAATTCCACATACCAAAAACATGTTTGTTAAAACGATATATGAAGTTACAATAACTCCACGAGTAATTTTTTATATAATACACAATATATTATAAAACATTGTTTTACAATACAAATACAATAATTGAAATAATCTTTAAATAATAGTTAAACTTATTTCTTATTATTTTGAGAAAAGAGCAACGAATATATTTCTTAGAAATAATAATGATATGTCCTATTTTGAATATAATATTGATGATCTATATTGCATTCTTGTAAATAACACTCATTCTCTTCACACACCTTCAGGCAAAAGGTGAATTTTATTTTATTAGATCAGTGGAAATTTATTATTTTTAAAATTACAATTGATTGCTTATTATTAATTTTATGACTTAATTCTAAATGAGTAGATTATTGTTTTGCTTCATTATGTAAGTAAAATTTATTATCTTATAAAAAAAAAAAAAGTCTAATTAATATATAATTTACAAATTTTTTTTTTTATGTAACAATAATTTAATGTAAATTATAATGTACTAATAAAATAATAATTATACAGGGTGTTCATTAAGTCAGGAAACGGGTTTCTATTGTTCTCATTGTTTGTAACAATGAGAACAATAGAAACCCGTTTCCTGACTTACTGAACACCCTGTATTATTTTACCTTCTTTCAGGCACTTTAAATTCTGATCGTAACTTATCAGCAAGTTTAAGCTCATTCATTTCAAGTAATTTTACTAATGTATCATGTAATGATAGATTGTAAAATTTATTCTTCAATTTTTCTTCCAAACTCGTTTGATACCCTAATAATTTTAATTGACTTTCACATAGTGTAATAGCAAAATCATCACGAATTCTTTTGTAACTATTAATTGCTTCTTTAATAGATAAAGACATATCTTTAGGATTCTAAAAAACAAATTAAATTTATTTTTCTAAAAATTCAATTATTTATATGATAATTACAATTATACATGGATCTGATGCTTACTGTAGATTTTATAGTCGCAATAATATGATAAAGTGCCAATTGCTCATGATTATCTTCTTGTGTATACATGTCTAATAAAGAATATCCTGAATATTGGTGACAATATTTTATGTACAAAGCTTGAGCAACAGTACTTTTCTTAATTTCCATCTAAAATTGGATAAAATTTTATTTTATTATTCTTTATTCAATAAATATTAAAGTTCATAGTTTTAAACACTTTTTTTTAATCTTGTTTAAAACAACTGAAATTAAACATAATGTGACAAAAACAATATGTTTCAATAGAATGTTTAAAATATATATATATATATACATATATTTATAATTATGAAATACAGTAAAAAATTTATTTTATCTCAAAAATTGTAAAACAATAAGATTAAGAGCAAACATGACTTATTAAAAGCCTAAAAATTACAAAAAACAAAATAAAATTTTGGATTAAAATAAAAATAAATTTGTATAAAACTTTATTTATTTGATTAATAACTTGTTTAATACATACAATATAATTTAATACTCTGTTTTAATTTATTTTGAAACTTAAGAGGAAGGATAAATGGGTGTATTGTCTAATTTAAGCAACATTTGATGTAATTTTAAAGGAACTGTCAATCAAACTTAAATATTTTCTACTAGATTGTAGATAAAACCAGAAAAATTTTAATAGTTTGATACTGCATGGATTTCATAAAAGCATTACAAAAATACTAACTTTTGAATTACCTATTTGAGAAATTATACAAGTGACAACATTTAAAAAATGAGAATTTAAGATTAATAGCTTTTTTATAGACCGTTGCATAATTTTTAAACTTTATTAATGAATTCTGAATGACAATGTCTAAATTGCAATAAATAAATTCAGTGTATGGTATACAATCTAGGTGTCAACTCACAATAGTAAGTTATTCAAATATATATTGCAGACAGTTAAGTAATGTAAAATTGATATAAAGTCAGAGCTTTTAAACGTACCTATTTAAGTAAAAATGGGATAATTAATTTTAATTGTTATCAACTCAACACATTTCATCAAATAATTTCCTTTGATAACCTCAGTTTCAATGTTATATATTGATTGTAGTAAATAAAAAAAAAAATTGTTTTTTTCATTTTTCATTTTTTAGTATTTTGGACTACATTTTTCTTTAAAAATTTAGTCAACATTTATATGAATAGAAACAACTGTAAATGGAATCTAGTAAAATCATTTTGAACTAAAAAATTTATAATTTTTAATAAGTATAATTTAACAACTTACTTGAAATTTTCCAAGAGGCATAGTAGTTTGCATATGAAGTAAGACCATATAAACAAGATCAGTATTACCACTTTCAATCGCTTTTTTTAAAGCAATATTATCTTGCTGGTATTTTAATAAGAGGGGTACTTGTAAATTTACCCTTGGTTCATAATCCAGTAACTTTAAATAACAAAAAAAAATTTAATTTTAAATATCAATTAAAAATATAATATAATATTAGGAAAAAAATTCATTAAAAGGTTTTTTTTTTATGAAATTTCAATTTTTTTTTACAATAATCATGTAACATTATAAATGCAAATCAAAAAAATAATAAGAATAACATATTATTTTTTCAAATATTTAATGTACAATCATCCTTTTTTGATAATAAAAAAAATGGAATATTTGTGTAGCTTGGTGTTATAAAATCAAACCTTAATACTTGTGTATTATAGACATATTTCCAATATAACTACAGTGGCTTCCCACGGTTATCTTTTTTATTAATTTTAATCAGAATTTTTATTTTATTGCACAAGTTAAATTTATCTCACTAGATTTTATTTATCAAAAATTGTATTAGAATTCAATTAATGCCATCAGAATTCATTCAAGTTCAATATACGAGGTGTGATCAAAAAATACTCGGATTTTTTAAATAAAACTTTATTAACTCAATATTATTCTATATAAACATTATCACCTTCAAAATAATCTCCCTGGGAAGCAATGCACCGCTTCCATCTTCTTTTCCACTTTTGAAAACATTCCTGGTAGGCACTAATTGGAATGTCCTTTAGATCGATTTCCGTATTTTGTTTTATGTCATCAATTGTTTGAAAACGACGTCCTTTGAGCGTAGATTTTAACTTCGGAAACAAAAAAAAGTCACATGGTGCCAGTTAAGTATGGTGGTTGTGGAACAACTGTAGTCTGATTTTTCGCTAAGAACTGACGAATGAGCAATGAGCTGTGAGACGGGGCGTTATCGTGATGTAACATCCAAGAACCTTTTTTCCAATTTTCTGGCCTTTTTTTTCTAACATTTTCTCGTAATCTTTTCATGACTTCTAAATAAAAAAATTTATTTACTGTTTGTCCTTGAGGCACCCATTCACGATGAACTATATCACGAAAATCAAAAAAAGTGATTAACATGGCTTTCACATTTGATCTCACCTGCTTTGCTTTTTTTGGTCTAGGGGAATTTGCTGACTTCCACTGTGACGATTGACGTTTGGTTTCAACATCATACCCGTAAATCCAAGTTTCATCACCAGTTACAATATTTTTTAAAAAGTCTAGGTCAGTTTCTGCTCTTTCAAGAAGTTCTTGAGAGATGGTCTTTCGGTTTTATTTTTGTTCATTGGTTAAGAGACGAGGAACAAATTTGGCTGCGATTCGGCTCATGCCCAATTCTTTGATTAATATTTCTTGGCAAGAACCATAAGATATTCCGACGTCTTCTGCAACTTCTCTGATAGTTAATCGACGATTATTTCGAATAGTTTCACGAACACGAGCAACAATTTCATTTGTTTTACTGGTCGATGGTCTACCAGATCGTTCGTCATCCTTAGTGGATGACCTACCTTCCTTAAACCGTTTAAACCACTCAAAACATGTTGTCCGAGACAGAACATCATCTCCAAAAGCTTGCTTCAAAAGTTTAAAAGTTTCACTAGAACTTTTCCCTAATTTAAAACAAAATTTTACACACACACGTTGTTCTTTTATTGTTTCCATTTCAAAAATTCGATGCATGACTGAAACATGTTTTCGTAAAAATGCCATAAAATAAAAATAAATATTGTTATCGATTTCAAACCAATGCTCAAATTCTCGTTAGAAGTTACTTTATCGAATTAAATTATCGGGATTTCGTTATCTTAATTGATATAAATATTATTAACACAGTCCGGGTATTTTTTGATCACACCTCGTA